ATGTATATAACTAGATGTCAACTGTCTGTCTTCCAAAGTTTATCTTCCTGCAGAGTCTTTTTAATCCTACAGAAAAAGAAACAGAGTGAGTTATCAGCTAGATTGCCCTCGAGTCCCTTTGTAGAGGCCGAATGAAGAATCAGGTCAGCATTCTTTCAGGTATAAAGTGGGATCACAGTGTTACACACACCTGGCAGGTGTCTCGTCTGTTATAATTCAGAAAACAAGTAAAACTAGTATCTGGTGTTTTATATATTTACCTTGAGTCTGTCTCTTTAAGAACAGGTTATAATGTGTCAGTCTGGCAGAGAGCTGCTTGAATGTCATTGTGTAATCAAGAAGTTTGAGAGTTAAGGTTTACTATACTGATGATAACAATCTGGAAACTGTAATGGCGCTACAAACTGATAAAAAAACAGAGCAAAGGTCTTCAGAAATAAATAAAACCACTTTTTTTTTACATTAGTAATTCCTTTTGTGCATAATTTTATATTATTGTTAATAATAAATTAATTAAGCAACAAAACAACCTGAAGAGCCGGTTCGGAGCCGAAAGAGCCGGCTCTTTTTAGTGAGCCGAGCCGAAAGAGCCGGTTCTGTAAAAAGAGCTGGAAATCCACCGCATCGAGTTCACAGTTAGCAGCGCACTGGAAATGGCTTCTGTTCAACATTTCCAGTTTGAACCAGAGCAATCTGAGAAAAAGGATGAAAATAGTCAATCAGTACTTAGTTTAGATGAAGATGAAAACAATCCGTCACACGATGACGCGAGAGTGAGGGAAAACTACTGGTGTCTATGCCGCTACTGCTTGTCAATGGCGACAGGTGTCGTGCCAAATTTTGAATCCCCGACAGAATTTGTTTCCCCTGCGTTGGGACTTTGGCACAACATCGGACGGGATTATTTAAATAAACCAATGACATTTTGACTGATCATTATTTATATCTTTCTGTAACTGTACAACACTGTACTGAGCCAAAACCTCCCAAATTTCAGGAGCGTTAAGTCTTTGAACAGGGGAACAAATTTGTGGCATGATCAGCCTGATATTATTTGTATCCCACTGTAACCTTACTGTATAAAGAGCTAACATCTCCCAAATTTCTGGAGTAGTTAGTCATTATAAGAAGTGTTTAAGAACTAAAAATCACGAACGTGGGATACTGATAGTCCATGATTTCGAAAGGCCAGTGTATGCTCCCGATGCAGGGGAAACAAATTCTGGCGGGGATACCTAGTTTGGCATGACGGCTTCAAAGTTTTGGTGCACTATGTTGCATAGAGAATCTGTAAAAATAACGATATCGTAATTTCACTGTATAATAAAACTTAGAATTCTAGTAATGTTTTTATCATGCAGTTATGTGATACCATGGATAGCTGCTGCCATAAAATTGAGCTCTTTACAACAAACGCTCTCAGTCGCCGTTGCCATTGGCAAGCAGCCGCATAGACACCAGTAGCTAAAGCATATAGTTAGGGCTGGACCAGGTGACCCTGAATCCTCCCTTAGTTATGCTGCAATAGACATAGGCTGCCGGGGGATTCCCATGATGCATTGAGTTTTTCCTTTCCAGTCACCTTTCTCGCTCACTATGTATTAACAGACCTCTCTGCATTGAATCATATCTGTTATTAACCTCTGTCTCTCTTCCACAGCATGTCTTTTATCCTGTCTTCCTTCTCTCACCCCAACCGCCCCTCCCTGAGCCTGGTTCTGCCGGAGGTTTCTTCCTGTTAAAAGGGAGTTTTTCCTTCCCACTGTTGCCAAAGTGCTTGCTCATAGGGGGTCATATGATTGTTGGGTTTTTCTCTGTATCTATGAAGCGCCTTGAGGCGACTTATGTTGTGATTTATATAAATAAAATTGAATTGAATTGAATAGTTTTCCCTCACTCTCGCGTCCTCGTGTGACGGATTGTTTTCATCTTCATCTAAACTAAGTACTGATTGACTATTTTCATTCTCTCTCTCGGTTTGCTCTGGTTCAAACTGGAAAGGTTGAACAGACCCATATGGAAAAGAAATAGAAAAGAAAATAATAGGTTTGGAGTCTTCTCTCACCCCCATTCTCTGCGGCCTGCTGGAGCGGGGGGCTAGGAGGAGGAGTTGGCCGTTCGACTGCGGTCTGTAGTGTGGGGCCTCCCTGCTGCTACGGAGTCCGGGCGGTCTGCCTCTCCCCACCGCAGGGAAAAGGGTAACACCACGTGGGTCTGGGTGCAGTTCCCCCTCCAGGGGCAAGGGTACCTAGACCCGGTTCGTAGAGTACGCTTGGGGAGTGTGATCGTGTGTACAGAGTCTCTTCATGTCTGTCTCCACGTTGGTTGAGTGTGGAGTAAGTGCATATGAGAGCATGAGGGTGGGAATGGATGTTTGTGTCTGTGTGTCTGTATGTCTGTGTCTATATGTCAGGTTGGGTATCAGACGCCACCTCTCTGGGGACATCTCAGGCCCTCCAAGGTTTGGGGGCCTATCTCCATCCACCACCACTTCCCCTGCCAGTGGCGGACTCCCTCAGGTATCGGTGCATTGGTGGTTCTTTGTGTCCGGGGATGGGCGTCCGGGTACACACCGGCTCACTCCTTGGCGGCCGCTTATCGGGGCCTGGAGCCTGGGGCTCGCTCGGGCCACTTCGGAGGTGGGGTGCCCCCGGCCTCTCGGCCTGGGGCTCGGTCACTCAGGCACGGCTGGCTGCCGGCGGAGCTCACGGGCGCGTCACTGCAACTCCCCCTGGCTTCTGCTCCGCGGCTGCTGAGTGAGCCCTCATCTGGGACTCTCCTCAGCTCTTACTGGGACAGTGGCGCGGCTGCCCCTCTGTTGGTCTTCCTTGGTCTCTTGTGTTCTGGGGGCCTCTGGATGTCTGGAGTTTTGATCTCCTCCATACCTGCTTCATACCCTGGAGGACGGGGCTGTGGCTCCCCACACTCCCTAGCAGATCGTTACATGGAGAAACCTTTGGAATGCAAGCATGCTGATCCACACAGGTATGCACGCAGGTGTACACACGGGTATTCACAGACGCAGACTACAGCTTTCTTGGCTGCTGCCTCAAAGCACATTGTGCACTGTCTATCTTGCGTGCTGCACAATATCGTTTATTATTTAGTATCTACTGATATCTACTGCTAGCTAGTTTATTGTGATGGTGCTGTTTTTTTTATTATGTTGCTCTTTGTTGTTTGCTTTTGTTGAGGTTGGTTCGCGAATGGACCGTCCCGCATCCTTATATTACCATGATGACGTCACAGTTAGATCTTTACTGGAAATGATAACAGTTCCCCACACTCAAAAAGTTCTCCTTATATGGACATCAACTGCTACTTTTAGAGAAAAACAAGTGTGTATTATATTGTGCATTTTGTGAAAGTATATCTATTAGAAAAACTGTCCTCAGACGACCCTCCTATTCTTACTAAGTGTGTGTGTGAACGTGCGTGTTTTACATAAGTGTGTGCATGTTGTTACAGGCCTGAGTACGTGCAGAACTGAATGTAGACAGCCCAGGGCCCAACAGGACCCACAAGTCCGAGCGGTTAACAGCCTAAGCAACTAGAAAGAATAATACAGAACAACAATAGACTGACTAAAGTACTGATAATCCGTGTGCATTAGTATTTGCTCAGAGTAACATAGATGTGATTCAAAGATTATTCTGTCAACTAATTCAACAATGGTAAATGATTAATCAATGATAATTCTGATTATAACTGTGATCATAAGAATACAAAATAAAATATCTCTTGCCCACACTTTCTCTTCTGTTTTTTTTCTCCATACAGGTGACCCAGGTGTTTTGTTTGTTTTTTTTGTTTTTTTTTCTTTCTTCCCCCCCTTCTCACCGTCTCTTCTCCCCTTTGGTTTTCTTTCTCTCCCTCTCTTTCTTTCATTCTTTCTCCCTGTCCTATCCCCCAGTCATGTCTGTCTCGTTTGTAGCAACTGAAAATAAAATAAATTCATAATTATAATAAAGGTCAATCAAATGGACCAATATGGCAAGGCCATGATGATCCACTTGGTAAAATAAATCCGCTTGGCATCTTTCTTGGCCTTAAGACAACAATTCTGATGGCTAAAGATCCAAACGGGACACAAAAAAAAAAAAAAAAAAAAAAAAAAAGGAAAAGAGATAGTAAAAACTTATATGTGATTACTCATGAAAGTGGCCACTTTCTCATTACTTTCATACATTGTTTTAGTAAGTATCCAAAACATACAAGTTTCATTATATAATTTTTCACGGGATCTTATATCTGTTTTCACTCTTATATGCTTTTCATACAAGTTTCACACAAGACAGATACAAACTTTATAAGATTTATATATATATTTTCCATATGGGGAAGCCATTTCCAGTGTGCTGCTAACTGTGAACTCTATGCGGTGCAAAGATGTGACGTCACAGCACAGAGTGCATTGAGAAGTAAATTACAATGGCGGTCTACTGGTAAATCGGTTTTATATAAAATGTGCTTAAAAGGAAAACATTTGGTGTATTTTAATACCACATTTATGTTATTGAAGGCACAGTACATATTTTAGCGCAAATATGTGTTAATAGCCAGGGTTCCCTTTAAGTTCAACCTGCTGTTTCTGAGTCCTTACAAGAGTCCTTTTGAGTCCTTCATATGGGCCCTCCCTCCTGCCTGCTGCGTAACCCAAAAACAGTAAATATAAAAATGTTAGCATCATCGGTGAAAGGCACAGTGGATAGGTAGGACTTCCACAGATATATGAACCTGCATGTTCTTGACAGACTGACCGCTGTCCAGTCCTGTTTGTGACTGGAAGAAAATCCCTGTTAACAGGGTAATGTGGTGTGATACTTACAGTTGTGTTTTTTAAAAGTTCATTGTGACATTTCTGAAAAGACCTTTGCTCTTTTTTTATCAGCTTGCAGCGTCTTTGCTGATTCCAGCTTTTCCAACAGACAGACTCAACTTAAAATATAAACCAATCATTGTTCATTCGTGAGTAAAGGACAAACTAGTTAATCAGTCACTCTGTGTCCTTTTCTGGAGGATCAGGAAGACTCTCTGCATCTCATTATTGCTTCTGTAAGAGGGTGAAGTCCATTTTATTCCATAATGTTTTGTGCACATATTTCACTCCATGTTTAATATTTTTTCCATGTTACTTCTGGAAAATATGTGCATAAAGTATAAAACTGAGAAAGAACGTGACAGCGGCTGATGGCAGCAAAAAGTTTACACTGGAGTTAACAGTTTTTTTCGACTATGGTTTCATGCAGTTGATGATTTAAATGGATTACACATCCATAAAGGACTGTTAGTTCAGATCAATTATTAACAAGTGATAGTATGCTTACAGTGGTCTGTGTTGAAGGCAAATGTGTGTCTTTTTATAGGGCTTTCCTGCGACCAGTATAGCCGACTGTTACAAGGACTTTTTACTTTCACAAAGATGCTTATCTCTGTAAGGCTGAGCTTTGTGGTGCTGCTCTCAGCAGTGGGCACAGCAACAAAAGAGAGGTGAGTTTTTTTCATTAGATAAGTTTGATCATTTTTGTAAATAGATGAACTACCTTCAAAATATCAGTTACTGTACTTTCAGGTTTTTAGCAAAAAAAAAAAAAAAAAAAAATCCCCACTCGCCCCTGTGGATGGTCAATCCTTCGAGCTTGAGGGTCCTGCGCAGTATCTTAGCATATATATATATATATATATATATATATATATATATATATATATATATATATATATATATACATATATATATAATCACTAAGGGCCTCTATACTACTTGTGCAAACTTTCAGGCCCAGAGCTCTTACAGGAACGAGCCCAGAATAAACGGGACAAGAGGGTCAATATCAGTCAGATATGTTAAAATTTATTATTTTAAAAGAACACAAAGGGTTTGCAAAAGGCCTAAAACATCAAAATGGGAAAGGTCACTAACGACCACAAGATAGTCTTATTGGTGCAACCTGCCAGCAATGCACCTATCACCTGAGGGCTTGCTCTACCCCGGTGGTCCCAGATGCTCGTTGCTTTAAAAGAAACAAATCCACCCCAAATAAATATGAGCCCAACAGAACACTTATCGCATATAATTACTTTGAATTATGTTTGGTTTCGTAATGTCTCAAATGTGGGTGACGTAGTCCTGTTCTCTTGCCAAGCTTTATCAATCCATGAAGTCCAATGACACTCAAACTGCAGAGATGTCTTAAAGACAAACACCTGAATGAACTCTTTCCTGAATTTTCTGCTTCTGAAATCAGATAAAACTGAGGTTATTGTACTCGACCCCAAAAATCTTAGAAACATTGTCTAACCACACTGAGTGGAATTACCATGAACTCCAGTAACACTGTGAGGAATCTTCTAGTGATCATTTATCGAGGATATATCATTCAATGCGCATAAACTGTATATAAAAATATGTAGGACCTGTTTTCTAGTGTTTATTTAAGGAGCTTGGAAAGAAAAGCTACGGCTTCTTAAAATTTCTTGAAGACAATTGTGTGACCTATTGAGATCAACTGACGCAAGATGTGAGTGGGCTTTAAGGCGCCTGGGAAGGAATCTCAGAACTGGATTGTAGGTGGCAGACAGTTGGTACTGTAAACTGTGTTTGTGCAATATCTCTACAATTGGAAGCATCCTGCCTCACGGTGATGCTGAAAAACTAGTTCATGCATGTATTACTTCTATAGGCTGGACTATTGTAACTCACTATTATTAGGTTGTTCGAAAACCTCCATGAAAAGCTTTCAATTGATCCAAAATGCTGCAGCAAGGGTAGCTGCGGATGACAGCTTTTTTTTTTCAATTAATTCTAGGTTCTAGAATAATCTGAGTAATCAACAACAATATTTGGTATTAGAAGCCGTAACAGAAATCTGCCTTAGAGCTAATATTGATGACTTTACATAGTGCTCATCTATTTAATCTACAACTGTGAATCATTTATCACGTACAACATCCCAGAAATTTGAAATAGTCAAGTAAGTTTCTTAACATTAAAATTAAGAACAGTACCTAATGTAGAAATGTATGATATTTTAATGCCTTTAAAACTGTTAGAAATTGAGTATTGCAGCTTTGTAACTAAAAACTACAATATTGATAAAACAGCAGACTATAATGAGGTATGATCAGTGTTGGGAAGGTTACTTTTAAAATGTATTCCACTACAGATTACAGAATACATGCCCCAAAATATACCGTTACTCAGTGAGAGTAACATATTATGAATACTTTGGATTACTTAATATATTATCATGCTTTTTACAACTACATGAATGTGCTATTGCTGTGTGATTTATTACTGAAGGTTACTCGCCATACCGATACCAACTAGATTTTTAAATCTTAATATAAAATGAGTAACAGTAGGGTGGACATTAGGTGAGGCTGCACTTTTAGCAGCAATCTGGTATAGAAAACGAATCGTGCATATATAAAACAGGGACCTCTGGCTAATACGTCGGGTTCCTTGTCGGGCTGGTAGCTGAAAACTAGCTTTACTTTGTTGTCTGGGTCAAGTTTGCTAGCGAGAGACAGAGAGAGGTATGGCAGACTACCACCTTTTTAAATGGTAACTGTAACGGAATACAGTTACTCATATTTTGCATTTTAAATACGTAACGGCGGTACATGTATAGACATGTATGTGCACGTTAGCATATGCTACTTCCGGTGCGGAAACTCCTGTGGGGAGCTTTGTTTCCGGTGTCCTATTCGCGTCTTGTTTACGGTCCAAAACAAGTTAAGCAAATGAATGAATCAAGCAGCGATTTACATTTCTCTAGATGTCTTGGGCATTTACCCAATATATATGTAAATGATGTTCGACTTGTCGATATTTTTTCCCCCGCGCCTCAGGGCAAAAGAGAAAAGGGATTCAAATGTTATATTTCTCAGCGGTCCCTCATTTATCGCAGGTTTTATGTTCTAAAAATAACCTGCGATAGGTGAAATCGACTAGCCAATTTTATTTTTTGACGGTGCAAAACGTTTTGTGGACATCGTGGACATACAGTACACTGCTAGCGATCTATGCAGCGATTCTGTACTGTACAGGAGAGAAGTCATGGAGGAGATCGTCTGCAGCGATCAGGACGCAGGACACAATGTGACGTAAAAAAAAAAAAGCATGCAAACTTGCACTAAAAAAATCTGTGAAACAGCGAGGTGAAAGGTGAACCGCGTTATAGCGAGGGACCACAGTAATTTTGAAGGTAAGTCACAACATACCCTTCGTACATACTAATGTATAGAAACCCTTACCAGCAATCGTTCATTTTGTGTGTGGCTTTTTTTCACGGTTTGTTGACATGCTGTGTAGGTGTGTACTTGACTAGCTGATATCGACATAACGGGGAAACATCTGGTTTGACTATTCTTCACCTGTAGTTTGAATGCTGAACATTTGCCTGTTTAAATCATAAGACCAGTCACTATACAGAGATGTGCAACCGTTACAGTAACTATGTTATTATTGTGGTAATGAGCTAACTATAATGGCATAATAACTAGTTATTATGCCAGAATCAGGAACGCGTTAATCGTTACTGGGATTTAGATAGGGTCGTTATTCGTTACTTCGTGTGGTGGCTATCGCGGAGCTTCCACAGATTCAGTAACATTAGCAAGTGATGAAAGCCAGCAGGTGGATGAGAGAAAGGGGAGGCAGGAGGAGAGACCTGGAGCGGCCGCCGGTGCGAGTGTCAGGTGAACTGAACTTCAGGCAAGAAGTTATGACCTGCAGTCTATCTGGGTCAGATATAAACCAAGTTTAGGTGGAGTTTATTTTAGTTCGTACTGAGGGAGTTTCTAAACAGCTGGGTGGGTGCTATGATGTTACTGATGTTGAACTTTATTTGTTCATAAGGTTAATTATTAGAGTTGCCAACCATCCCAAACGGAATTGTCTCATATTCAGAGAAAATATTACGCATTTTGTAATGAGGTGAAAAGGAACACAGTTTGTCAGCTACAATGAAAAAGATACAAAGCTGGAGTTATTCTGTGTTTAAGCTGCACAGCTGCCTCTTCTTCTCTCATTCTCTCCCCCTCCCTCTCCTGTTTCTACTTCAATCATGAAACTGATCAATGATCAGCTGATCGGCTTTTCTCTCTTGTTTGTTTATCGCCCACTTTGCGCCAGAAAGACGAAACCAGCGGATGTTGCGGTAAACAACAGCAGCGTGTTTAAGGTTGATCAGCTGTTGTTAGAATTTATTTAATATTAATTTCTAAGATCAGCTGATGTTTGCTGGAGCCACAGCTGTAAACCTGATGGTCATGATATGGTTTGGTTATGTGATGAGAGGGAAACATGAAGATGAAACCAGGAGATGTCCTTACTGAATCATCAGAGCTGAACAGGTGATGGAGAAACAGGTTTACCTTTTAGGTGACATGAATGAGTTGAAGGGAAGTTATGAACTGTTTCTGAGAAATAACACCAGGATCCTTTTCGGTGTAGCTGACAGCTGGTAACTGTGCAGGGGTGGGTCTAGCAAAGTGTTGCCAGGTGGGCCAGGTAGGGCATTAACAGGGAAAGGGGGGCACAAGGAAATACTTTTCTTTCTTATTCTCATTTAAAATATCTAGCTTTTAAAAAATTATTATCTGAATCTTACAACAAACGATTGATAGATTGATACATATATACCATCAAAACAGTGTACATCACTGTCACAACAGCATTTGTTTTCATTCAAAGGCTTTATGATTACAATAATAATTACAATTGAAAAGCACCACGACTGCAGTTTTTGTGTTGGATGTAAAAAGCGCACATGACGCTGTGACGTAGGCTAGAATCATGGTGGCGGTCAACAACGGTCCAGGCGTGGGATTTCTCTCGTGGAAATATGCACATTATTTTTTTCCTTTCTATTGGTAGGTGGCACAGTGCACTTGTGGCAAGTAAGCAAGCTAGAAGACTGGCAATCTCGCTGGGTAATCCAATTATGGAAGCAACACACTAACAAGAGAATTCTGAGTAAAAATGAACTTACCCAACACTGGGTATCGTTTAGGTTTTATCCAATACCAGTGCCAAACTGGTACTTTTGAAACGGTGCTCGAACCGATGCTTAAAGAATCAAGAACACAAACTTTGTCCAAAAACCTCTCATGTTTAGCTATTTTTTTGTAAAAAGATAACAATGTTATCCTTTTCTGCAGCTATAGGGCATATATGGTATCACTCTTGGCTGGAAACAGTGCTTAAACAATGGAAAAAACACAAACTTTGTCCAAAAACCTCTCATGTTTAGATGTTTTCCACTTTTTCTTTGGTCATTTTAGCCTTTTTGGCCAGGGTGAAGGGAGTATCTGCCATCAAACAAGAAGACAGCCGCATGTAACTATGGCGGTGTTTGCTAGTTCACCTTACATGCATTAATTTAATAACGTGGTTAGCCTACTGTACTCGTAAATTAAACACGAACAACATTAAGCTACTCGCCCAGAGAAGAACGGCTACTGCTGCCATCATCATCCGTCATCATTTCTGCTACACTGGCAGGGCTAGGGGCCAGGACTCTACTCTTCGGGTCTTGGGGGATGTTGCTAACTCCGGGTCCAATAACAGGCACCACACCCGCAGTAGATGTGCTCGATGTGAGGTCTCGCAGCAAGCTATCAAATACGGTGCATTTCTCGGCATTTAAAAAATGCTATGCGTCGCCAGGTTCGTCGTCAGATTCGAGGAGTTACCTCTATTGCACAGTATCACCTTAAAGCACTTGTTGCAGGCTGGTGAGTTTGCATCTTTTGCTGTGAAGTACAGCCAAACTTTTGACCACTTCGCCTTGGGCATTTTTAATCTGTAGATCTGCTCTAAAAGAACGTACGTACCTGGGCCCGCCTACTATCCTTGCAAAGGTAAAATGATTGGCTAGAATCCAAACATTCCGAAATAAAGCACCGAAATGTGCGTTGCTTTTTGGTCTGGTTACTACCGTTTATTTCAGAGCCGGTACCATCATGGCACCGGATACCGGTACCTATCCCTAGGTATGATCCACTTCCACTGCTTCTCATGTTTCTCTTGTTTTTTATGTGCAACAGAGTGCAGTACGACCACTATAAATACCACCCTTTGACAGAGGTGAGGTGGCTGTTACACACACACACACACACACATATATATATATATATATATAAAATATCATTTTATTTCTATATACATATATATTGCAATAAAAGTCTGAATATATTGAATGAAACCCGAATATATTGAATATAAGCTAACTACAGAGGCTCTGGTGCCACGCTGTATTTTAGATGTGTATTATAGCATGTTATGTGCCCCCCCCCCCCCCCATATGTAAACAGGTAAGGAGCGTTCAAATAACAATAATAATAATAATAACAAGAATAGTAATAACAACGATCACTGTTGTACTACTGGTGATGAAACTTAGTCAATAAATCAGTATATTCTTCATCAGACCAGATGTACAGATTGATTCCCAGTACCTATAACTAACTAAAGGTACTGAAAATATTGACTGCAATACACAGACCCCATGAATTCTCTTAACTTTGGCCAGACCTAGCCTGCTCAACGGCTCAACGGCTGGACCCTCCTTTACATTCTTATTTTTTAGTTCTTATTTTTGCATGTTTAGCACTTCCCTCAGTAAGGTAAACAAAAGGTTCAGTACATTCGGTCTTCCATGATTAAACAGCACCTAAATTTTGTCGTCTGCAGTACCATACTGTACCCTGTTACTCATATTAGCTTGTACATTACAAGCATTTCTATAGATTTATGTCTTCTTTACATAGGAATACTGATTCCCTGCTAACTTATTCACAGAGCTACTTCTTGCAGCAACATCGCATGCTATAATATTACACATCTAAAACACAAGATGGCGCCAGAACTGCTGGAACATCAGTTTTCATTCAATATATTCAGACTTTCATTCAATATATTCAAGATTATAATAACTTCCTAAATGGCATATACAAACACAAACAGGCTTCCGTGTGTTCTCCAGGCTTCACCAAAGACATTTAAAGCTCTTCTTTGGATGTTGGTTGTCTTTTATTCCATCAAGATGATTCCACACTGCTTATATAAGTTTCAATTTCAGGGTCTGCGGACACTAGTCCATGACTGATAGTGTTCTATTGTGTATTTGTCTATCCAGGTATGCTTGACTGCATTGGCACTGTGTTCGGAATTATTTGGGGGCTGAAAAATAAATTTTCTGATGGTACTTTTCTGCATTTAGATATTCATTCAAATCTGACAAGATCACCAATAACACTGGCTGAAATACAACTCCAAACCACAACAGAGGCTCCTTCACATTTTTCAGACAGTCCAGGACTGTTGTATCTCTCTCTTGACCTACTCTGTATAGATTGATGACTATTTGGCTTCAGCATTCCATAAGTTTAGTTTAAAACTGGTTCTTTGCTAATTTGTTTATTCTAGAGATGCAACACTGGTTTACCCTTTGAGTTAGGCGTCTTGTTATACTTGAATAATTTATAGTGGCTTAGACTGAAAATGAGTAAAAAAAGAAACCATTGTCCAAATGAAACTTTGAAAAACCTTTGGAAAGTCTGCAGAACTATTAGTCAAGATCACTCCAAAAGTTTCAAATAAACTCTTGAATCAAAATGTATGTATGATGGATGTGCAAATTCATGGATAAATAACCAGTGAAAATTTAGTAGAGTTTTGATATGCTGCCAACGTTGGTACTACACTTTGCAGATCACTAGCTGGATGGAACAGATGGTAAAGGATCACCCTGATGTTGTAACCGTGGTGAAATATGGAAAGACCTATGAAAGCAGGGATATTAGCTTGCTCAAGGTAAACAAAGTTTCAGATCACAAGCTGTCATATGCCAAACGGATACTGATGCACACGGATGTTTGATATTTGTTCTCCAGATTGGCCTGAATACTGGAAAGGAAAAGAAAGCTATCTGGATGGACTGTGGAATACATGCCAGAGAATGGATCGCTCCAGCCTTCTGCCAGTACTTTGTTAGAGAGGTAAGAGAGCTGCTGTCAATATACCTCCACCAGGACTCGTGAGACCCTTCTAGGGGTAAAGTTAATGCTAGGGGGTGTTGTTAGCCACATTTATTCTAGAAACAAGAAAATTTCATTTCAAATAATGTCTTATACATTTTGGTATTACAGGTTTTCCAAACAGGCCAAGCTTCTTTCTACTTTTAAATGTTCTTTGAAATATTTGAAAACAAAATTTACATATGAACATATGAACTTATAGTTTGGTCGCCAATGTGGATGTGGTGGACGTTATAGAGTGAAACAAAATAAAACACACACACACACACACACAAAAAGAGAGATGGAAAAGAAAGAGGAAAAAAGAGATTTACAACAAATCTCGTTATTCCATTTGTTGTCCTGATTGTTTTCTGTTGTGAGGAGAAAACATCCTGTCTGACAAAATGAATCTAATTTAATAACTAAATGTCCTCCAGTGTGTCAGCCTGCCCCTGATGTGTGTTCGTCTGTTCCAAACAGATTCTGCAGACATACAAAACAGATGCCAAAATGGAACAGATGATGAAGAACGTGGACTTCTACGTCACTCCAGTGCTCAATATAGACGGCTACATCTACACGTGGGAAAATGAGACAGTCAGTCCTCGTATTTAATAGATATATTAAATTAAATATTAAATAGATAGATATTTATCCAATTACATTTCTAGGGTTGTGCACTCAGGATCTCAAACCACAGATGAACAGGATATAATAGGATGATTATTGCTCAAAAACCTTCAAGTACAAAATAATCTAATGTTTTTACAGTAAGACACATGGAATAATAATGAACAGCATCAATCACAGGAAGCATTTAATATCTACAAAAATGTTGTGCTGCCATTCTATTTATGACTGACTGAACATTTTGCTCCACTCAGACTCGACTGTGGAGGAAGAACAGGTCACCAGAACCTGAGGACTGCAGCTGCTATGGCACCGATCTCAACCGCAACTTTGATGCCAACTGGGGAAGTGAGTGATGTAGCTGTTCTTACTTTGACTGGACCATTGAAACATCTTGATTCTTTTCTTTTTCAGCTATTTTTACTAATTTGCCGATATGCTTGGAATCACTGTCCTGTTGCATGACCCAATCTCATCCAACCTTTAGCTTTCAGATAGAGGTCTCATTTTCACTGCAGAATACTTTGGTATACAGGCGTGTATGGCTGACTCAACTCAAACCATCACCTCCCTGACCATGTAGTGAATTAGCTAAGATGACTACTTCTGGGAAGATGGCAACACTTATGAATGTTTTCCACTTGAATAACCTTTCTCATTGTGTAATGGTGGATTTCAAATTATGTGGAAATGGCATTATAACTTTTCTCAATAGATAGGAACAATTACTTCTCTAAGCTTATAACTTAGCATTTTGTTAACACACACATGAGTAGGGATGGGTACCGGTGTCCGGTGCCATGATGGCACCGGTTCTGACATAAACGGTAGTAACCAGACCGAAAAGCAGCGCACATTTCGGTGCTTTATTTCGGTGCTTTTTTTTCCTGAGCTGTGATACACTTTAGATTCTAGCCAATCATTTTACGTTTCCGAGGATAGTAGGCGGGGCCAGGTACGTACGTTCTTTTAGAGCAGAGCTACAGATTAAAAATGTCCAAGGCGAAGTGGTCAAAAGTATGGCTGTACTTCACAGCAAAATATGCAAACTCAGCAGCCTGCAACAAGTGCTTTAAGCTGATACTGTGATACTGTCAAAGGAGGTAACACCTCAAATCCGATGAAACAGCTGGCGACGCATAGCGTTTTTTTTTAAAAGCCGAGAAATGCGCCGTATTTGATAGCTTGCTGCGAGACCTCACACCGTGCACATCTACTGCGGGTGTGGTGCCTGTTATCGGACCCGGAGTTAGCAACATCCCCCAAAAACCCGAAGAGTAGAGTCCTGGCCCCTAGCCCTGCCAGTGTAGCAGAAATGATGACGGGTGATGATGCAGCAGCAGCCGTTCTTCTCTGCATGAGTAGCTTCATGTTGTTCGTGTGTAATTTACGTTGAGTAGGCTAACCACGTTATTACATTAATGCATGTAAGGTGAACTAGCAAACATCATCATAGCTACATGCGGCTGTCCTCTTGTTTGATGGCAGATACTCCCTTCACCCTGGCCAAAAAGGCTAAAATGACCAAAGAAAAAGTGGGAAACAGTTAAACATGAGAGGTTTTTGGACAAAGTTTGTGTTTTTTCCATTGTTTAAGCACTGCTTCCAGCCAAGAGTGATACCATATTCAATTCAATTCAATTTTATTTATATAGCGCCAAATCACAACATAAGTCGCCTCAAGGCGCTTCATAGATACAGAGAAAAACCCAACAATCATATGACCCCCTATGAGCAAGCACTTTGGCTACAGTGGGAAGGAAAAACTCCCTTTTAACAGGAAGAAACCTCCGGCAGAACCAGGCTCAGGGAGGGGCGGGGCCATCTGCTGCGACCGGTTGGGGTGAGAGAAGGAAGACAGGATAAAAGACATGCTGTGGAAGAGAGACAGAGGTTAATAACAGATACAGTGGGGCAAAAAAGTATTTAGTCAGCCACCAATTGTGCAAGTTCCCCCACCTAAAATGATGACAGAGGTCAGTAATTTGCACCAGAGGTACACTTCAACTGTGAAAGACAGAATGTGAAAAAAAAAACCCATGAATCCACATGGTAGGATTTGTAAAGAATTTATTCGTAAATCAGGGTGGAAAATAAGTATTTGGTCAATAACAAAAATACAACTCAATACTTTGTAACATAACCTTTGTTGGCAATAACAGAGATCAAACGTTTACTATAGGTCTTTACCAGGTTTGCACACACAGTAGCTGGTATTTTGGCCCATTCCTCCATGCAGATCTTCTCGAGAGCAGTGATGTTTTGGGGCTGTCGCTGAGCAACACGGACTTTCAACTCCCGCCACAGATTTTCTATGGGGTTGAGGTCTGGAGACTGGCTAGGCCACTCCAGGACTTTCAAATACTTCTTACGGAGCCACTCCTTTGTTGCCCGGGCGGTGTGTTTTGGATCATTGTCATGTTGGAAGACCCAGCCTCGTTTCATCTTCAAAGTTCTCACTGATGGAAGGAGGTTTTGGCTCAAAATCTCACGATACATGGCCCCATTCATTCTGTCCTTAACACGGATCAGTCGTCCTGTCCCCTTGGCAGAAAAACAGCCCCATAGCATGATGTTTCCACCCCCATGCTTCACAGTAGGTATGGTGCTCTTGGGATGCAACTCAGTATTCTTCTTCCTCCAAACACGACGAGTTGAGTTTATACCAAAAAGTTCTACTTTGGTTTCATCTGACCACATGACATTCTCCCAATCCTCTGCTGTATCATCCATGTGCTCTCTGGCAAACTTCAGACGGGCCTGGACATGCACTGGCTTCAGCAGCGGAACACGTCTGGCACTGCGGGATTTGATTCCCTGCCGTTGTAGTGTGTTACTGATGGTGACCTTTGTTACTTTGGTCCCAGCTCTCTGCAGGTCATTCACCAGGTCCCCCCGTGTGGTCCTGGGATCTTTGCTCACCGTTCTCATGATCATTTTGACCCCACGGGATGAGATCTTGCGTGGAGCCCCAGATCGAGGGAGATTATCAGTGGTCTTGTATGTCTTCCATTTTCTGATGATTGCTCCCACAGTTGATTTTTTCACACCAAGCTGCTTGCCTATTGTAGATTCACTCTTCCCAGTCTGGTGCAGGTCTACAATACTTTTCCTGGTGTCCTTCCAAAGCTCTTTGGTCTTGGCCATGGCGGAGTTTGGAGTCTGACTGTTTGAGGCTGTGGACAGGTGTCTTTTATACAGATGATGAGTTCAAACAGGTGCCATTCATACAGGTAACGAGTGGGGGACAGAAAAGCTTCTTACAGAAGACGTTACAGGTCTGTGAGAGCCAGAGATTTTCCTTGTTTGAGGTGACCAAATACTTATTTTCCACCCTGATTTACGATTAAATTCTTTACAAATCCTACCATGTGGATTCATGGATTTTATTTTCACATTCTGTCTCTCACAGTTGAAGTGTACCTCTGGTGCAAATTACTGACCTCTGTCATCATTTTAAGTGGGGGAACTTGCACAATTGGTGGCTGACTAAATACTTTTTTGCCCCACTGTATGATTCAATGCAGAGAGGTCTGTTAATACATAGTGAGTGAGAAAGGTGACTGGAAAGGAAAAACTCAATGCATCATGGGAATCCCCCGGCAGCCTATGTCTATTGCAGCATAACTAAAGGGAGGATTCAGGGTCACCTGGTCCAGCCCTAACTATATGCTTTAGCAAAAAGGAAAGTTTTAAGCCTAATCTTGAAAGCAGAGATAGTGTCTGTCTCCTGAATCCAAACTGGAAGCTGGTTCCACAGAAGAGGGGCCTGAAAACTGAAGGCTCTCCCTCCCATTCTACTTTTAAATACTCTAGGAACAACAAGTAGGCCTGCAGAGCGAGAGCGAAGTGCTCTAATTGGGTGATATGGTACTACAAGGTCATTAAGATAAGATGGGGCCTGATTATTTAAGACCTTGTATGTGAGGAGCAGGATTTTGAATTCAATTCTGGATTTAACAGGAAGCCAATGAAGGGAAGCCAAAACAGGAGAAATATGCTCCCTCTTTCTAGTCCCTGTCAGTACTCTTGCTGCAGCATTTTGGATTAGCTGAAGGCTTTTCAGTGAGTTTTTTTGGACATCCTGATAATAATGAATTACAGTAGTCCAGCCTGGAAGTAATAAATGCATGAACTAGTTTTTCAGCGTCACTCTGAGACAGGATATTTCTAATTTTAGAGATGTTGCGCAAATGGAAGAACGCAGTCTTACATATTTGTTTAATATGTGCATTGAAGGACATGTCCTGGTCAAAGATGAGTCCAAGGTTCCTCACAGCGTTACTGGAGGCCAAGGTAATGCCATCGAGAGTAAGAATCTGGTTAGATACCATATTTCTAGGCTTTTCAGGGCCGATTACAATAACCTCAGTTTTATCTGAATTAAGAAGCAGAAAGTTAGCGGCCATCCAGGTCTTTATGTCTTTAAGACATTCCCGCAGTTTAACTAATTGGTGTGTGTTATCTGGCTTCATGGACAGATAGAGCTGGGTGTCATCTGCATAGCAGTGAAAATGTATGCTATGTCTTCTGATGATACTGCCTAAGGGAAGCATGGATAATGTAAACAGAATTGGTCCTAGCACTGAACCCTGTGGAACTCCATAATTAACCTCAGTGTGTGAAGAGGACTCTCCATTTACATGCACAAACTGGAGTCTATTAGATAGATATGATACAAACCACTGCAGTGCAGTACCTGTAATACCTACAGCATGTTCTAATCGCTCTAATAGGATATTATGGTCGACAGTATCGAATGCTGCACTAAGGTCTAGCAGGACAAGCACAGAGATGAGTCCACTGTCAGAGGCCATAAGAAGATCATTTGTAACCTTCACTAAAGCTGTTTCTGTGCTGTGATGAGCTCTGAAACCTGACTGAAACTCTTCAAATAAACCATTCCTCTGCAGATGATCTGTTAGCTGTTTGACAACTACTCTTTCAAGGATTTTTGATATGAAAGGAAGGTTGGAGATTGGCCTATAATTAGCTGAGACTGCTGGGTCTAGAGATGGCTTTTTGAGTAAAGGTTTAACTACAGCCAGCTTGAAGGCCTGTGGTACATAGCCGATCATTAGAGATAGGTTGATCATATTTAAGATCGAAGAATTAATTAATGGCAGGACTTCTTTGAGCAGTTTTGTAGGAATGGGGTCTAAAAGACACGTTGATGGCTTGGAGGAAGTAATTATTGAAGTTAACTCAGAAAGATCAATTAGAGAAAAAGAGTCTAACTTAACATCAATGGTACTAAGAGTAGCTGTAGATAATATTACATCTGTGGGATGATTACTGGTAAATTTTTCTCTAATGATAAAAATTTTATTTGTGAAGAAGTTCATGAAGTCATTACTAGTTAACGTTAAAGGGATTGTTGGCTCAAAAGAGCTCTGACTTTTTGTCAGCCTGGCTACAGTGCTGAAGAGAAACCTGGGGTTGTTCTTATTTTCTTCAATCAGTGATGAATAGTAAGATGTTCTGGCTTTGAGGAGGGCTTTGTTATAAAGCAGCAAACTATTTCTCCAGGCTAAATGATGATCCTCTAAATTTGTGACACACCATTTCCTCTCCAGATTACGAGTCATCTGCTTTAGGGTACGTGTTTGAGAATTATACCACAGAGTCAGGTACTTCTGATTAGAGACCTTAGTTTTCACAGGAGCTACAGTATCCAGAGTCGTACGTAGTGAGGAGGTGAAATTATTAACAAGATAATCGGCCTCTGTTGGGGTAGCGTTCAGATAGCTGCTCTGCTCTGTGTTGGTACAGGGCATTGAAGATGATAACAGTGGGTGGATTATAGTCTTAAACTTAGTTACAGCGCTTTCAGAAAGACATCTACTTTGATAAAGTCTACTCTCCACCGCTGTGTAATCAATTATTGTAAATGTAAATGTTATCAGGAAATGATCAGACAGGAGAGGGTTTTCAGGAAACACTGTTAAATGTTCAGTTTCTATGCCATATGTTAAAACAAGATCTAGAGTGTGATTAAAGTTGTGGGTGGGTTCTTTTACATTTTGAGAGAAACCAATTGAGTCTGATAACAGATTGAATGCCATGTTGAGGCTGTCATTTTTAGCATCTACATGGATGTTAAAATCACCCACAATAATTATTTTACCATGTATTATACCATATATGCCCCATAGCTGCAGAAAAGGCTAACATTGTTATCTTTTTCCAAAAAAACAGCTGAACATGGGAGGTTTTTGGACCAATTTTGTGTTCTCCATACTTTAAGCACCGGTTTGAGCACCGTTTAAGCACCGGCACCGTTTCAAAAGTACCGGTTTGGCACCGGTATCGGATAAAACCTAAACGATACCCATCCCTACACATGAATGCTCCAGCAAACTTCCAAAACCTCTGCTTCTTTAGAGGTGCTTGCACTTGCTGATGATCAGTGTGAATTTGAATAGCAGGACCTTGGTGCTAGTTACCCTTCTAATTCCACAGAAGCAGTAAAGCATGCTTCTTTTTTTTACACACTGCTTCTGCATTTTGGCTTATTTCTCATAAAATAAATAAAACGTAATGTGTTGTGTATTGCTGTTCATCTGAGGTAGGTGAGACACTGTTTAACTACTTGTCTCTTTTTTTTTTAAAAAGGAGGTGGAAAAAGCCAATATGGTTTTTAATGTTCTGGACATTTTAATACAGGAGTCACACATGAAGCAGCCTTTAGTGGCTATTAGAGGAACTGCAGCTTTTGGCCAAATTTTACAACCTAACGGGTCACACTATGTAAAAAGGTTAACCTTTGTTAAAAGAATTTGAAAACAGAGGTATTATTGTTATATGTCTTTCATATCATCCTCCTTGGCCTCTATTCACAGCTATTGGGGTTTCATTTAACTGCTGCTCAAAATTCTACCCTGGAAGCAAAGCTATGTCTGAGCTCGAGACCAGGGCTGTAACTGACTTTGTAAGAAGCCGAAAGGACAGCTTCCTGTGTTTCCTCAGCATCCACTCCTATGGCCAGATGCTCCTGATTCCCTACGGACACCCCAACTACACCGCTCCCAACTATGATGAACTGGTATTTATGCCAACAAATGCAATAATGCTTTTTTTTTTTTTAAATTAACATACACACACATATGCATCTTTATAGCCTGACAATGACTAATCGTGCATGCATTTATATTAAAAAGGCAAACAGCCAGCAGAATGAGTAATTATTGTTAATTCATCTAGTAAAAGAGTAATAGATAAAAGTGGAATGGCAAACAGGTAAATGGACGTTCAATAATGACGATAACAAGATTCCACACAAACTATAGAGTTTAAAATATACATAAGGCCTAGTGCAATCATGTTTGAGTGTGCATGTGGACCAAAACACAGCAGGCAGGATGAAAACATAACCAGTGCCTTTAATAAGTATGTACAGAGCAGTCCAGAAATTCCAAAAAATTCCAAAAAGCTGATTAACTTTTTGGAATTTTTTGGAAGATGGAAAACTACTAAGACAACGGGATACTCAAGGAACTGATAACATTTAAATCTGTATTTATTGCCTCCTGAAATCTCCATATCACCACTAAATTTTTCATACAGAACAAGAACAAGGTTGTCTGGATCCATATTTCATTGACTGTATGACAAGTTCTTTGTGATTCCTCAGATGATGGTTGGTCAGGGAGCAACAGAAGCAATATGGAAGGTTCACCGAACAAACTACACTGTAGGAACCCCGCCCGATGTATTATGTGGGTTTATATATCAATTGCTAGCCAGTTAAATTTATTGCCAGTATCTCTGTGTTTTTAAAAAATATAACTGCTGCTTTTCTTTCTCCAGACCCCATAACTGGTTCAGCCACTGACTGGGCTCGGATGCAGGGGATCCCTTTAACCTACATCTTTGAGCTGAGAGACAATGGGACATACAGGTTTGAGCTTCCTGAGGATCAGATCCAGCCTACATGCGAGGAGGCCTACAGAGGAGTTTTGTACATCATCACCTACGCCCACGACAAGACGTTTAACGGTGCTGTAGCCAACACTGCTGTGACCCTTTCCGGCATACTGTTGGCAGCAGGTGTCACTGGAGCCACCCTGAGATGAGAGCTGTTTGATTTCAGTCATTCTGCAATTTGTGGCACTTATATTTAGTTCTTCAAGTAATTTTTCAGAAATAGAGTTTTAAAGTTTCATTGCTTTCTAAAAAAGTGCAGTTGATGTACAACTCTTTGTACTCAAAAATTCTAATCCATGAAGTGTACTTGCAGAGCATCTCCTCAGCCACTGTACTTTTTCACATAGTTTAAAGAAAATGATTAGAAGTTATAGCAGTTTTAATTAGTTGCCAATACTTGGTGTGTTGAAATATTCCCAAGACTATCAGGACTTTTTTTTGTGTCCATCTAAGTCTTTTGAATGCCTTATATAAAAAGAATGTAAAACAAAATAAAACTACATAAAACTTATTTAACAACATTGATATTTACATGATATTTTCAGACAAAGGAGGGACATTTGAGACAACAACAGTTTTAAAACAGTGTGCATGTAATTATTCTTGATGATGGATATTGTTTTATAAAATGACATATAGAAGATATACAATTAATCTACGTATATTAAGAGGCTCCAAGCTCTTTCTGTCTCCTTCATGCATGTATCATATGTTCTGTTCATTGAGGGACTAAGTCTAAAGGAATGCACAAATGATTAAAATAGACATTCTGTACTGAAAACAGATTTCAGGAGTGATGCAAGGGACAGATAACATAACCGTCAGCACAGTGACTGCAGATTTTTGTGTTTTCTTTTACATAAATACATTTTCTAACACAAAGTAAACAAAAGATAAATGAAGCATTCAAGTGAGTCAAAACTCTGCATAAAGTTTCCAGGGTGAGCATCCCTCTGGTCCCCACTTAATGCCCAACCTCCTAATGTGCAAACAAAACCTTCACCCATGGCTGAAGACAGTTACTAATTAATATGAATCTACAGCTACACTGTAAAAGCTAATTTGGCTTTATTTGAAATGTTCTCCCATTTTTGAGTTGATGAAACTGATTGTTGCTAAATAACTGAAGCTACTTTGTAGAGTAAACAAGGCCCACTTTAATGTGTGACTTCAGAGAATGTATTTGTACTGTGTGCATCGACTGCACTGTAGCGTTTCAGCTTTTTAAATGCATTTCCCTTCAACTTCCTATAGTGTGGAATTAAAGATTAAATATCATAGTTTATTCACTGAACAACAGAGTTTTTGCTCAAAATGTGTCATGTTTGATGTAAGCTGGTGGACTCAAAATGCACGACGATCATTCTGCTTGGAGCTTCAGTCACCGCTATCTCCATTAGCGATCATCCTCTTTTTGACTAAACCCTTTTTGACTACACCCTTAGCTGGGCCTTTGTTTCTGATCAAAGACAAGACAACTCTCTCACGAGGTCTGGTTTCCTGCGCAGAAAGGAACAGAAGGTAAGTTAGAATCAGAGCCAAAGCATACAAACATGCAAACACCAAGCACCAATCAGCACCAATCCCACTAACAGTTTCCAGTTTAACAATCAGTCATCAACTGGCTGTCTGGCTGTAAGTGTCTGATCGCACATTTAGTCACAGGTGGGTTAATTATACAGACAGAGAGAGAGAAAAAAATGGAAAACTGAGTGAGAAGCTGGGTGATTAATTAAACACATGAGGACATTTAAAAAAAATACAAAAACCCTCCTGATTGCAAATGGCTTTGTGGTAAAAACACAAATCTGACACAGTGTGGGGATAATGATCCGTAGGTAAAAGTGCATTATTTAGTGTTCTGCATCATCTAAGTTAGGAGATGAAATTACATTACATTACATTAGGTCTACTGATTGCATTTTTTAACCAGGGAATTAGTCACTAATCAGTTTGTAAACTGAAGGGAAACAACACGATTAACAAGAAATGAAAGCTGCTTTTTAAAAATAATCACTCATATTTAGTTTTTATGAAAAGATCAATATTGAACAATATTGAAGAGGAACGAAGTTAATAATAATAATAATAACATTAAACACAATAGGGTTTAACACCTTATCTGTTTATACCGGGTCTGGGGCCAGGTGTTGGTGCCATCTGTAGCAGTTTAACACCTCAGCCTGGATGATTCAGATGTGGAAAACTGTGTGCTCTTACCTCTGGCTCTTACCTCTGGCTCCTTCATAACAGCCGGAGAAGGGGCATTTAGGAAACTTGGAGGCGGCCCAGAGTTCTGTTTGCTTTTCTTTTCCTTCTTCTTCTTCTCTTTTTATCAGATTTTTATAAATCTCGAGCACGATGGAATAAATGGAGACCAGGCGGAGTGTGACAGGGTTAACTGATGGGGAGCCGTGAGGGAAGCAGTGAGGGAAGCTGTGAGGGAAGCCCTGTGAAGCGCGCAGTACAGCGGACTGAAGCCCGACTGTGGAGGAATGAGGCTGCGCTGCTAAGGCAACTGAGGAGCTCTCACAGTCTCTTCCCCTCTGTCTCTGTTCACATTACACAATCTGCGATGGCCTCCTATATGCTAATTTCAAAGTTCACTGCTGTTCAAGTTACACTGTAGAGGGCCTGAGCTGGGCCTTTGTTTCTGATCAAAACTAAATATAATGTTTTTCCCCAGGTACAGGTTGTTTGACGTGTTAATTTACCAACTATTTTTTTGTAATCGTATTGATGTTTCACATGTTTTAAAAATAATAGGAACAGTTTGTACAAAATTATATGGGAAAAAAGTTGTTAATTTATGAATATTTTTTACAGCGTAGAAAATATATTACCAATTTAAACTTAAAGTGAAACATTTCTTTTTTTAAAAAGTAAGGCCATTTTTAATTTGGCATCCAAAAAGTTGGAACAAGGGCTACAAAAGGTAAGTAAGTGACACTAAAAAGAGCCCGTTTGTGGAACATTTTGCACCTACTTTGGTTTATTGGGAACAAGTAAGTAACATAACCAGACCTAAAAAGAACATCTTAGAGAGGCAGAACATCTGAGGAATACGCAGTAAATACAGTATGTCAGATGTGCCACACAATGCTCAATTACATTGGTGGGAACTAGTGCATTAGCGCAGTTAGCTCGTTAAAGTGTTGACAGCGTCCAGCCCCACGCACGGGGCGAACCGCGGTAGCTCGTTAACGGAGATTTGCGGTGTTGTGGCGTTAACGTCATTTCAACGAGATTTACGCTGACAGAACTAGTGGGAACACAATGAATATGACTGCACATTTACTCCGACATCATCCTAGTGCAAAGACAAGTGGAAGCAGACAAAAACAACAAGCACGCATGGTACAAACTTTACCCGAGTCATTTAGACAGCCGTTAGCACATGATTCTCCTTATGGGGACCTGATATGTTTAATATGCTGCTGAGAATATAGCCCAGAAGAAGTGTATAGTATAGCTTTTATTTTGGAAAGAGACATTTCTCTGTAATAAACTCTCTTTTCCAAAGATGAGTGATTTCTCGATCAGAGAGATCTATTTTTTTATTACTTTGTTGTTTCAGCAACATTAAATTTAAAAACTGTACTTTTGAGTTAAAATATATATTTATAATTTTAATAAATGACAAATTAAAAAGGCATGAACATTTTTTTGTATCAAAAAAATATTGAACTGTGACACCAAAGTATCGAACCGAACTGTGAATTTTGTGTATCGTTGCACCCCTAATAAACATGTTTTCACTCTATGAGCATAACAGGGAGAAGGTTAGATAAGAAAATGCATTAGAAAAATCTAGAAACAGTGTAAGCTGATTAAAAACAGAAAAGGTCTTTTCAGAAATTTCACAATTAACCTTTAGAAAGTAATCCACTCAATTGTGTGATTGAACTGGAAAAAAGAAAAACAAATGTTAAACACCCATCCATCCATCCATCTTCTCTCACTTATCTGGGGCCAGGATGTGGGGGCAGCAGCAGCCTGAGCAGAGAAGACCAGACCTCCCTCTCCCCAATCACTTCCTCCAGCTCATCCGGGGAAACACCGAGGTTTTCCCAGGCCACTCAGGAGATATAATCTCTCCAGTGTGTCCTGGATACTGCCCCGGATCCTCCCAGTCATTAGTATTTATTCACCAATGGGGCACCAAGAAAGATGGGCTGGGTGTGTGGTCATGTGGTATAAGATTTATACATAAAGAGCATAAATCTGGGGTGGAGTTTCAACTTTTTCCTCATCTAATGTTACAAACGTCCACTTTAACGAACACACAAAAATGAAAGTTTAAAAAAAAGGGAAAAAATAGGTGTAAAAAAAAAAGTTAAAATGTTTCATAAGAACATTATCCTGGGATGAAGATTAAGGTTCAGCGTTATTCAGCCTCACATTAGCAGGCAGGCACTGACAAACCACAGCAGCAACTGTGATAAAAAATATAAAACAGGTTCTAATACTTTCAAATACAGCAGAGTTCAGGTACAGTATACCACAGGCATAAACAACCTTTTCCTCATCTCTGATATGAAGCTGGTCAACATCTGCAGAGCTCAGCTGGAACACAAGGCATTTATTGGCTTCATCCAATGAGGCTTTACATTTTTAAAGTAATGCCATTATTGAATCCCCGGGGTTCAGGTTAACCTGAAAGCTCCACTGTAGAGTCCTCAATATAGTGTTTGCATCCTGTTTTTAATTTATTTTTAGCAATGCAATGGAACATACTTGGTGTTTTGTTTTGATGCCCCTTTAAAGCGATTAAAAAATGAACTACTCTGGCTCTGATGCAGCTGCTTCTCTCTGTTTGTAGCCGCGAGCACTGTCCTGTCTTGGATCTGATTGGTTACATGTCATGAGTACTGATGGCTAGTGCAGAGGAGGGGATTGCAGACTGAAGCAGCTCTGGTTAGTGAGCACAGCTATTCTTTAAACCCTAAAATATTATGATTTCTTATGTAGATGACAGACATGGCTTACTTAACTCTCACAATAAAAAAAAAGCAGAATAATGCATTTTGTTGCAATATACAATTTATTAATGTAGCAATGATGCACATGAACAAAGGCATGTCAGTGTCAGGCACAGGTGATCTGATTCTCTGAGTATCAGCCAGTAGGCAATACAGAGCTTGGAGGGAGCCGTGATTTAGAACCCCCCTGAACAGCCTCTGAATGTTTATCCTGCTCCCTCTGAAGGTGTTATGGCCTGGGTGGCCTTGATGGTCAAGTACAATGCTCCAGTCATATTCACAGCAGGTCTCCTCTGTAATCCATGCACTTGATAAGTGAGTTAAAATTTAGTGGCCTGGAAAATAGGACCCAAGGATATGTTCATTTTTAAGGCTAGAGTAACCTGTAAGAACCGTTTGAGTGATATTGTTATAATATACAGGCTTTTACCTTTACTGTCTATGTCCACAATTTAGAGTTTTTGAATGCAGGATACTTTATTAAAGCAGTTTAGGGGGACCATAGCAAAAGCTGAATCAAATAATGATT